AGGCTGTCCATTGTCCCCATTGCTTTTTATTATGTGTTTTGAAATTCTGCTTAATGATATCCGTAAAAATGGAAAAATTAAAGGTACTAATGTAAAGGGATCAGAATATAAACTAAAAGCATTCGCGGATGATTTAATGGTTTCATTAACAGACCCAGGAGAAAATATACAGAATTTGATGGAGACAATGAGAAAATTTAGTAAAGCGTCAGGTTTAAAAATTAATAAAGAAAAAACAAAAATGATGTTGTTAAACTTAGATGATAAAGAAAAACAGAAATTAAAGGAAAGAATACAATTTGAGGAAGTTAACATAATTAGATATTTAGGTATAAACTTTACCAAAAAAATGCTGATCTTTATAAAAATAATTATGAAAAAATTTGGGTAGAGATTAAACAGGATTTGGAAAGATGGAGTAAACTGAAATTATCTTGGATGGGGGGAATTGCGGCGATAAAAATGAATTTTTTCTAAAAAAAATGTTGCAGAGGAATTATTCTGTATAGAAAATAAATACATTTTTTGTTTGCAAAAATCCTGTTTTCTGTGCAGAAAAAAAATCTGAGCAGGAACCATTGCTTCGAATTCACTTAGGGACAAATGTGCACGTCATTCTACATGTGCTGCTATTGTTTTGTGCCTTCAAATCATTTCTGACATAACAACATTAAGACAATCTTATCATGGAATTTTCTTGGCAATACTTGACTACAGCTCTGGAGACCAGTGTCTGAATTCTCACTCAGACAAGGAAACCCAATGGGTGACCTTGGGCAAATCACACTATCTCAGCCTTAGTAGAAAGCAAAGTATTCAAACCACTATACCATGCTGGTCTTCATGCTATACCTGCAGAGCCAAAATAAATAAATAAAAATAAATCACCATTGTGCAATGGATGTATTCTGCTGATGGTGGTGGAAGCAGATTTGTGCAGACAACATGTTCATCTGTGCCTTGTCTTTGCAAAGTAGCACATTGTGCATTGTGATTGCGGATCCTATACTTTACATTGTGAATATACACTGTGGTTGTGAATTGTGCAGTGGCACCCAGTCATTGACATTGTTGCACAATGTTGCTCTTGTCTTGGGCTTGTATAATGCTGCTGTGGCGGATTTCCATGTTGAATTGAGGCCAATGTTTTCTGTACAGAAACAGTGTGTATGTGTGCAAAAGCACCATGTGTTCTGCTAGGCAGAATAATTCATCCATAGCACTTTGGAATGTTCAACTACTGTGAGAAAATTGCCCAAGATCCTCAACTATCTATTATTTTTCCTTTTTTCCCTTTTTCTTTTTACTGTTTGGGAAACCCTTTTAAATTTTGACCTGGGAATGGATAATAACAAATATTCTTTCTGCCTCTGCTGTAGAGAAATGAACCTGCTTGTGGCAGTTACAGCCATTCACTGTATTTGATATATATGATGATATCACTGCCACATGCCCAGGTCCCCACTCATATGACTAAGGACCTATACAGACTGCCAGAAATAATGCAGCTTCAGGCCACTTTAACTGTCCTGGCTCAGTGCTAGGGAATCATGGAAATTATATTTTTTCTTGGACATTGAGCCTTCTCTGTCAGAGAGCTCTGGTGTCACAATAAACTACAGTTCCCATGATTCCCAAGCACTGAACCAGGACAGTTAAAGTGGACTCAAGCTGCATTATTTCTGACAGTCTGTAAAGGCCCTTAATCACTTTGCAGCTGCTAA